CACACAAGTCAGAAAACAACCACAAGAGCAAACACACCAACCTAAAAAAACCTCTTTGGCAAAAAGGAAGAAATCTGCAGAGATGCTTAAATTTGAATGTGTGGCATGTACCCCTCAAAGAGCATCTTACCTGTTAGGATGCCCTGGATGTACATAAGGCAGTAGATGTCACAGACAGCAGGAAATAGAGGCAGCAGTCCTTTAAAAAGTCCATGGAGTGCTGGAACCAACCAGCAGGTGAGAACCCCACTCAATGACACCCACAGCAGGAATGAACCTTTTACTGCACTGCTTGTCCAGGCCCTATGATAAGCACTGGGCTGTATCTTAATGATTCCAACAAAAACCACAATGATTTTCATTCATGGGATTGGCTTGCAAATTTGAGAAAAGGAAAATTTGAAAATGTATGTGCTAGTCATTTTATAATTTTTCCTAGCAAACTCAACTACTAAAACTGTCATATTATATGAAATTGTGTCTTTGATTTCATATTGCCCAGAATTATTAGGCTCAATGCCCTCATTTGGGACAATGAAATCTTCCTTTATCAAGCCAATAAACACTGTGAGTACTTAACTTTATCATGTATCCACACAAATTTAAAAAGAAAAGAAAATTACATGAATAATGGTAATTTAATTTTTTCAATGTGCCTAGTAATTTTCTTTCATTATTATTTATGACTAACTGCAGCTTCGTCTTCTCAGAATGTCTGAACCTGTTTACTGCAGGTATCACTATCTCCTATGAGAGAGTTTACATGTGCTTGTACTTCAACACTAACATCTGAAAGCAACCATAACAGAAATTAAAACTTAAAGTCAAATTACTAGGAAAAGTTATAATCTGAGTTTTAGGTCAATATTCAATTCATAGAATACATTTTTTTCTTTCTCAAAAAAAGAATAGTTCCTTCCAAGAGACTATCTTTTTTTATAATGCAAGGTAACTGCAGTTGTAAATCAGCTGTCACAAAACCACACATCTGCTTACGCAATAGTAATTGCCAGTTTAATATGACAGTAGTGTGCAATTTCTATTGAGACTGAATTAGTCCAGTTCAATGAAATGAAGCACTGGGCCTTCACAGAGTTACTTCATAACCAGGTACTTTGCTGAGATATTTTTAGCAGTAGCATGTATTAAGTTCCATATCGAGAGCTAGATTCAACAGCTGTTTGCATTAAAGCACTCATTGTCAAATAGCATTTATTATTCAGGTATCCAAAATTTGACGTTAATAACAATAAGAGCTAACATTTATTTAACATTTACATGCCAGGAGAACAACAACCCCATAAGGTAAGAACTATTATTATTCCCATTTTACAGATGGGGAAATTAAGGCCCAGGGAGTTAAGTAAACAAGGTCACACAACTAATAAATGAGAAGACTTGAAATACGAACCCAGAAAGTCTGATTCCAACAGTAATATGGACAATAACAATGTGGAAAAATATATGCCAGGATAATCCAACTCACTAATAGATAATGATTGCAATGAATTAAGTACTTCAATTATTATAAAAATTATGTAACTACCTCTCCAGGAAGAATAATATTAAAAAGCTGTTTGTTGGGCTATGTGAGAGCAAAGGGTAGAAAAAAAACTTCATTAGCCTTAATTTATGAGCAAAAGCTGGATTTAAAAAAGCAAAATTGTAAAAACTTGTTGAGTAACAATCTAAAAATGGGTTGTAGAGAAGCAATCTGTGAATTAACATCTTTTCTTAAAACTGTCAATAAAATGATTAGATGAAAAGAAAACAGATTTTTCTAAGTGTATTTAAAGTGATAGCAGAGAGATGAAAAGCAGCATATTATTCCAGATTATGCTTGTTAATGGTTCCAAAGAGGAAGTTGAAGTTTCAGTTGATATGATCTGAAGCTAGTTGAGAATAAAAGATGGCAGTAACAGAAGCAGTCAAAAGCTGCAGGAGAGAAAATGATCTAGACTGAAAGCACATAAGTCTGTCACAAAGTCAAAGAATTCACATGTATTGAGGAAGTAAGACTGAAGGTGAACAGGAATTCAACAAGATTAGGAACAAGAGACTGCACTGTCACAAAGAAGTCTACAATATGAAATAAAAATATAAGCCAAGGATAGACAATGAAGACATAATTTAACAGAGCAGAAAATAAGCAAGATTTAAGCTTCAGGGGTTGGGGGGCTTCATTACACCCAGTGTTGTGGAATTAACTAATGATGAAGATGGATGCTTAGGTAACCTGGTTCAAACCCTTTTTCAAATTTTTTCTTAGAAAGGGTAGCTAGGAAAAGGGAAAGCAACACAGAGAATGGGAAGTCTGAAAGTAAAATGACAGAAATGATTTAAAAACCAGCAAAAAAATCTGAAATTAAAATACATGGTCGGCTAGGGTTAATTTTGAGACTCATGAGTTGGAGAAGACCTGTAGGGGCAATACTTTAAATTCCCCTTATAGACTCTGAAATAAGAACACAAGTGGGAATGTAAGTCTATGAAGAGACATTAACATTTGCTCTCAAATGGCAATTCTTTCTGAAAAATGATCTATATATGAGCCTTATGGCATGATTCAAAAGCTCTAAGTAGTTAAGATGACCTCCAGAATTTCTAACAGCTGAGTCCATCATGGATCTTTAAAAGAACTGAAGTTTCCAAGATGCAGTTTAGAAATCACACTATTATAGAAAGTGATATAATTCCCTTTTATTTATTTATTTATTTATTTATTTATTTTGGTATCAACAGACAGAAACTGTTCATGGCTGAGTACAGTATAAAAGCCAACCCTACCAGAGGAAAAAACCATTCAGTCAGTAGCCTTGAGTCACAGCAGCAGTATGCATGAGAAGGGTGGAGTTTAATCACACCCTAGTGTTTAGTGATCAACATGGGCCTGCTTGAAGCTGCTTATGATTCCCTAGGATAAGAATACCATATTTAGATTACAGCTTGATGCCCATTCTAGAGAAATGTTCAGACGAAGGCTGGAAGCACTGCAGAATCATAGGGAACAACATCTACATTGTAGTCTGCGTGGATGGCATCTGTGCAGTGTATAGTGACAACTTGCCCATCCTGACACAGTTGTATTGCTTCTAACAACTTACTGTGCTTGTGCAAAGCCTTTTGGGTTTACATGGTAAACATACATTTCTTTCTTGTCAGCAAGAAAGTTTACTTTAAACTTGTCAAAAATGCCAAAGAACATTCCCTCTTACCCAAAAAAAATTTGTTGTATTGGAATAAAACATAATTGATATTTTTTATACAATCCTGCCTCAGTTTTATTTTTTTATCCACTGAGAAGCTCATGACAATAGTGTCAAAAACACCCGATGACTAATGAAACACCCTCTGAAGTCCCTGAAATGTGATCACTACCACAAAGAAGCTAAGTCCTTACCCCATTTCTACAAGGAAAAATGTCTAATAACCTGATGACAGCAAAGGTGAGTAATCTGAGGCATCTACAAAGTGGCTCTGTGGTGAACTTGGGAAGAGATGAAAATAATTATTCCCAATATTTAAACAAAACTCACACTCATTCCCCAAATGTTAAAATGAGATTTAGTACAGCCAGGGAATGGACTCATCTGGTCAATCTCTTATTGCACATCAGCATTTCCCCCAAAATTTTCTATAGAATATTAAAAGGATTCCATGGTCAGTAAGTTTGAAATGCCACAATTACCCAGTGTGTATAATTACCACACACATTAGCCTCTTAAGGCCCTGTGAAGTCCTGTAGGTTCTGTTAACCCAGTGTTTCCTACAGTCATTTGATCATAAAAACTGGGTTTCTGTTGCTGTTGTTTGGTGGAGTATCAGTGATAAAAGAAACAGAGTTAGGGAAATGACTCTCAAGGATTACCATATATACACTATTAATTCCTTGTAAAGAATTAAAATATAACAACATCCAAAACAAAAATTAAAAAAAATTTTTTTTTTTTTTAAGACAGTCTCACTCTGTCCCCCTGGCTAGAATGCAGTGGCACAGTCAAGGTTCACTGCAACTTCCGCCTCTTAACTTCATATGATTCTCCTGCCTCAGCCTCCCAATTCTTGTGCCTCAGCCTCCGAGTAGCTGCGATTACAGGTGTGCACCATGCCTGGCTAATTGTTTTGTATTTTTAGTAGAGATGGGGTTTCACCATATTGGTCAGGCTAGTCTTGAATTCCTGGCCTCAAGGAATTCGAGACCCACCTCAACCTCCCAAAGTGCTGGGATTACAGACATGAACTACCACTCCTGGCCTTAAAATAAGATTTCTTTTGATGATTGCATAATACTAAAGAAAACTAGGCCGGGCGCGGTGGCTCAAGCCTGTAATCCCAGCACTTTGGGAGGCCGAGGCGGGTGGATCACGAGGTCGAGAGATCGAGACCATCCCGGTCAACATAGTGAAACCCCGTCTCTACTAAAAATACAAAAAATTAGCTGGGCATGGTGGCGCGTGCCTGTAATCCCAGCTACTCAGGAGGCTGAGGCAGGAGAATTGCCTGAGCCCAGGAGGCGGAGGTTGCTGTGAGCCGAGATCGCGCCATTGCACTCCAGCCTGGGTAACAAGAGCGAAACTCCGTCTCAAAAAAAAAAAAAAAAAAAAAAAAGAAAACTGAAGTGCCTCCAGGCTAACAAATGTTGGTTTGATAGCTTTATTTGGTTAAAACCACCACCAAAATAACATTTACTGTATATTCAGTGAAGCCAGAAATAAAAGACAAAAAGTCTATTTTATAGTATTGTCACTTATACTTCTCATAAAATGAATAAAAACATATCAATACTTGGGGTGGACAGCATTTTAAGTACTAAGAATATATCATTACTGTGCTTATTTTTTGCATTTATTTTTAAACTCTTCTGCCGGAAAACATCAAAAACTTTATGACTTCAGGAGCTCACAACCTTGCAATAATCTTTCCTCAAATTACTGACTTCATCATGATTATCTACTGAAACCAAAACAATGGCACCTACTGAAGATTATTACAATACTTACCACATTACAAAAAGAATCCAGACCAATGCTATGTACATACTTAGTACATTCTGGATTAGACCAAGTAAAATTTAACAACAAGCTGAACAGCATTCTATAAAACAAAAACAAAAAGTCAGTTAGGCTAATTCTGTCTGTTTTTCTCTGCTGTGGACTCACAGTGAGAAAGAAGATAGTCTCGGAACTTGATGACTAAATCAAATCTAAACTCTTCTTCCAGAATTTTATCTACACTTACCTTAAGAGAAGTTCTTTAGGTAACTTTTTGTTAATAAGGCCTTCATCATTGTTTGAGAAAACCTGGAAAGAAAAAAAAAAAAAGGAAATTGTTAAAATATTTTCAATCAATGTGGAAAAAAGTTATTTGTTTTTATACTATTAGATCAGAACAGCTCCAATCGCTGTCCTACAAATAGGGTGTTACTAATTTCATGACGCCACCACATTCTAATATTAATAATAGAAAACGTTTTATACCCTATCACTGTTTCATAAAAATAGCAATACATAGCCATTTGATACTATGTTGTATTGAAGGTTCTAGCCAAAGCAATTAGACAAAGGATAAAAAAGACGTCCAGATTGGAAAGGAACAAGTAAAACAACCTCTATTTGTAGATGACATGATCTTGCATACAGAACATTCTAAAAGGGCACAAAAATCAATTAGAACTAATCAAGGAGTTCAGCAAGCTACAGGAAACAACATATAAATGTACAATATAGTTATATAAAAATAAACTGAATTTCCACGTAGTAGCAATGAACATCCTGAAAATATATTTCAGAAAACAATCCTATTTACAACAGCATCAAAATGAAAAAATACTTAGGAATAAACTTAACAAAAGAAGAATAAGACTTCCATATTGAAACCTTATACAATACATTGTTGAGAAAAATTAAAGAAGGCTTAAATAAAAAGACTTTCATGTTCATGAATTGAAAGACTTGTTAGTGGTATGTTGGTAGCACTTCCTAAAGTAATTCATAGATTTAATGCAATCTTTCTCAAAATTCCAGCTGCCTTTTTTACAGAAATTGAAAGACTGATCAAAAAATTCATATGAAAATGCAGGGGACCCAGAATAAAATAATCTTAAAAAAGAGAAACAAAAGTTGAAGGACTCAAACTTCCTGATTTCAAAATTTACTACAAAGCTTCAGTAATTAAAACAATGTGTTTACTGGCACAGGGTAGACATACAGATCAATGGAACAGAACAGAGAATCAAAAATAAAATTATTAAATTGGCTAAAATAAAGAGAATCCATAAATAAATTCTTAAATTTATGAGCATTAATTTAAATGGAGAAAGAATACTCTTTTCAAGAAATGGTACCAGAACAGCTAGATATATACAAGCAAAACAATGAATTCGGCCCCCCATCTCACTTCATATAAAAAATTAATTCAAAATGGCTCAGAGACTTAAATAAATATAAGAGCTAAAATTATAACCCTTGGAAGAAAACATTAGCATAAATCTTGGTGGCTTTGGATTATGCAATGGTTTCTTAGCTATGACACTCAAAGCACAAGCATCAAAAAAAAATTGATAAACTGGACTTCATCAAAGCAAAAGACCTGGCTGGGTGTAGCAGCTCACTCCTATAATCCAATCACCTAGGGAGGCAGAGGCAGGCGGATAGCTTGAGGTTGGGAGTTCAAGACCAGCCTGGACAACATGATGAAACCCTGTCTCTACTAAAAGTACAAAAATTAGCTTGGTGTGGTGGCACATGCCTGCAGTCTCAGCTACTCAGGAGCGTGAGATAGGAGAACAGCTTGAACCTGGGAGGCAGAGGCTCATTCCTGTAACATGTATCAGTACTTAATTCCTTTTTATTGCTGACTAGTATTTCACATCTTGGAATGCCACATTTTTTTTTTTTTTAGCCCTTCAGCTAAAGGATATTTTTAAATTATTTCCACTATTTGGCTATTAGGAATAATGCTGCTATGAACATTTATGGACAAGTTTTGTAGAGACCTATATTTCATTTCTCTTTATTGTCTTACAAGTGGAGTTGTTCAGTCATATGATAACTCTTTTTAACCTCTGAAGAACTGCCAAATTGTTCTCCAAAGTGGCTGTACCATTTTACATTCCCACCAGCAGTGTATGAGAGTTCCAGTTTCTTTCACCATTACGAAAAGGCTACATATTGTTTGTTTCCATTTACATTAATTGTCCAGAAAAGGCAAATCCATGGACACAGAAAACAAGACTGCTAATGTATATGATGTTTCTTTTGAAGGTATGAAAAAATTCTTGAATTAGACAGCTGTAATGTTCATACAACTTGGTGAATATACTAAACCCCACTGAATTGTACTTTTTTTTTTTTTTTTTTTTTTGAGACGGAGTTTCGCCCTTGTTACCCAGGCTGGAGTGCAATGGCGCGATCTCGGCTCACCGCAACCTCCGCCTCCTGGGCTCAGGCAATTCTCCTGCCTCAGCCTCCTGAGTAGCTGGGATTACAGGCACGTGCCACCATGCCCAGCTAATTTTTTGCACTTTTAGTAGAGACGGGGTTTCACCATGTTGACCAGGATGGTCTCGATCTCTCGACCTCGTGATCCACCCGCCTCGGCCTCCCAAAGTGCTGGGATTACAGGCTTGAGCCACCGCGCCCGGCTGAATTGTACTTTTTAAGTGAGCAAAATTTATAGTATATGATGAATATCTCAATTTTTAAAACCTGGATTAAAAAAACAATCCACCAAAACAAACTGCAGAAGTGGAAATAGTGACATAAATAGTACCCTACATTTATTTTCAAAGTAGTGTCAATGAGTAGTCTTGGTACTGTATATATATTTAGTAAGCGCCTACTGTATTCCAAGCTCCAGAAAGCACTATGTCAGATGAAATAGCTAAATTATCTAATATTTTTCTAGTTCCTTAAGTGCAAAAGTACTGATTTGACTTTTTTTTTTTGAGACAGGGTCTCACTCTGTCAGCCAGACCGAAGTACAGTGGCACAATCATAGCTCAAGGCAGCCTCAATTTCCCTGGCTCAAGCAATCCTCCCACCTCAGCCTCCCAAGTAGCTGGGACTACAGGTATGTACCACCACACCCAGCTAATTTTTTAGAAAAGTTTTTGTAGAGACAGGGCCTCCCTATGTTGCCTAGGCTGGTCTTGAACTCCTGGGCTCAAGTGACCCTTCTGCCTTGGCCCCCAAAACTGCTGGGATTATAGGTGTGAGCCTGGACTTTCTTCTTTTTTAATGTAAGCATTTTCATTTATAAAATTCCCTCTAAGTACTGCTTTCAGAGTATCCCATAAGTTTTGATATATTTTCATTTCTATTCATCTCAAAGTATTTTAAAATGGCCATTATTTCTTTCACCTATTGATTAATAATGTATTTATCTGGGGCCAGGTACAAGTGGATCATGCCTATAACTCAGGCACTTTGGGAGGCCAAAGCAGGAGTATCACTTAAGGCCAGGAATTCAAGGCTAGCCTGGGCAACATAGTGAGACCCGACTCTACCAGAAAAATTAAAAATTAGCAGGGCATGGTAGCATATGCCTATAATCCCAGCCCTATCCAGGAGGCTAAGGCAGGAGGACGGCTTGAGCCCAGGAGTTTGAGCCTAGAGTGAGCTACGATCACCACTACTGCACTCCAGCCCAGGGGACAGAGCAGACTCCACCTCAAAAAAAAGTGTTATTTTCACATATTTGTGAATTTTCCAGTTTTTCTTCTCTTATTGATTTCTAGCTTCATTCCATTGTTATCAAAGAAGATATGAAGATATTTTGTATTATTTCAATCTTTTGACATTTATTGGAACTTGTTTTGTGGTCTTACACATGCCTATCCTGAAGAACGTTGATTCTACTGTAGTTGGGTTAAGTGATCTACATAATTGTCAGGTTTCATTGATTTCGAGTGTTGCTCAAGACTTCTGTTTCCTTATTCTACTTGTCTAAATGTTCTATTATTGAAAGTATGATACTGAAGTCTCCAACTGATGTTGGGATAGGTGGTGAATAACATGAAAACCTTTACATATCTCAACAGTCAGAACAATGGGCTTATTTTCTGCTATTAAAAAGACCAGTGAATCAAAGTTGTGAGATTTCACTTCAACATAGGAAAAAAAAACAATTTTCTAGCAATTAGAATAGCCCATACTAGAATGTCTTGCTGTTGAAGCAGTGATGCCTCTTCTTCAGTGCTACTGCAGAGTCCACAGATCCAGGATTGTCAGGGAAAGGAATCCCTTTTTCAGTAGATGTGACTAGGAAACCCCTAGGGATCAATTCTAATTTCCCAAAAGAGTCTTGCCACTTACACCTTTGTAAGCCTTGGGTATGTCATTTAACTTTTCTATGCCATAGTTTCCTCTTCAGCAAAATAGGGGTGTTGTGAATGAAATGAGTTCATAAATGTGAAGTGCTACCAACAAATGGTAGCTATGATGACAGCTGTGAAATCTCCAATTACTATTACAAAACCACTTCTCAGCTGAGTGCAGTAGCGCACACCTGTAATCCCAGCACTTTGGAAGGCCAAGGTGGGAGGACTGCATGAGGCCAGGAGTTCAAGACCAGGATGGTCAACACAGATAGACCTACATCTCTAAAAATAGAAAAGAAAAAATTATCCCTTCATTTCTGTCAGTTTGCTGCATATATTTGTGGCTCTGCTGTTTGGTGCATATGTGCTTATAACTGTTATGGTTCCAGTAGGAATTAACCTTTTATCGACATATAATCACCTTTGTCTCATGTAACAATTATTATAACTTAGTTTATTTTGTCTGATATTAGTATAGCCTACCCAGCTCACTTTTAACTGTCTTTTGAACTAACAAGGGTCTCTTGTACGTAACATAAAATTGGATCATATGGGAGTTCTTTTGCTTGTTTTTATCCATTCTGCCAGTGTCTAAGTTTTAACTAGTAAATTTAATCCTTTTATACTTATAGTAATTACTGATAAGGAAGGACTTATGTCTGCCATTTTGCTATGTTTTAAATTATGCAGTGATGTGTACTGCTTTATAAATGCCAAGGATCAAGTTGGTTGATAGTGGTGTTCAAATCTTTTATATCCTTACTAATTTTTTTCCCTCAAGTTCTGTCAATTAGTGATAGAGCTGTTATATTCAACTATGACTGTGGTTTTGCCTCTTTCTTTGGTTTTGTCAATTTTTGTTTCATGTATTTTGAAGCTTTGTTGTGAGGTAGATAGATGTCGAAGGTTTGTTTGTTTTGTTCTGTTCTGTTTTAGATGGAGGCTCACTCTGTCACCCAGGCTGGAATGCAGGGGCATGAT